CAGACCCTGCTTTGTGCACACGTCACTCTTTCTTTGCTGCCCAGACTGATCTTTGAAATAAAATAAAGAAGCATGGCAAAGTAACTAAAACATAGGTAGAAATAACATATTTGGGTTTCAGAAAGAAAAAAAAAATAACCTGGCAAAGCTTGAAAGGCACCCATTTCATAACAACACATGTGCAAAGAATTACAATAATTGCAGTGCACACATCGGTAACAGACAGAGCGAACAATGAATATTAAAAACACATTCCTAGAGCTGGCCCCGTGGTTTGGCAGCAGCACACAGCGTGGAGACCTGCGCGGGAGTCAAAGGAAGGCTCTCGGCTTCCAGAGCTGTCAGGGCTTGGCAGGAGCTGAGGAGAAAAGAGGAGGGAGGAGGGTGGCAGTGACTGTCCCCATCACTGTGACTCCCGACTCCTACTGGCAGAGCCCTAGGATGGCTTCAGGAGGGTTTCATAGAGGAAGTCTGCCTTTAGCCCTTTGTGGCTCTAGTTCAGAGCCAGGCTGAGAAGGCTGAGAAGCAGGAGGGATGAGGATAGAAAAACAAACAAAGGTAATGCTGGGAACACCCAGACATTGTCTAGGACCAGAATCTCCATCTTCCCTCGCTCCAGGCTTGCCTACAGCATGATCTAGCCTGATGAACTTCATGCTATGGAGACATAAACTGGGCAAGTGTTTATCTTCCATGGACCAAATACATTGATCTGCCTTTTTCCCTTTAATATTTGCTATGCGGCGGCATTAAAGTCTGTAGAGGGATGAATTCTCCTTGTGGTGTGTTCCAGAGCCTTCAAAGACACATTAACCAAACATCCAAGGTACACAATGATCATTTCACAGTGAATCCCTTCTATTGTCAGCAAAGACAAAGGCCCTTCTCTTAAGTACAGCTTTGGTTTTGAATGTTCAGATTTTGCCTCTGCCATTGGCAAGGAATTGACTCTAGAATCCTTGCAATTTGGCATTGAGAGAGGCCAGAGGGTGAGAATCTCTAACCAGATAGTTTGGTTCCCACACTGGGAGTTGAGGCTCCAGGATTCGTAAGCTATGGGCTGTGAATGTCCAAGGGGTTGCTGAGGTAGAATTCAGGGAGATCCATAAACTTGGATGGGAAAAAAAATGACATCTTTATTTTTGCCCATCTCTGGAATACAGCATTCCTTTAAAAACAAATGTAGGAAACAAACCATAACAGTGCTAGGGATACTTATGACTTTGTCATCAGTAAAAATCATGGATATTTTCGTGTCATTTCACTGTTGTTTCAGATATCTCCAATTATTATTTATGCTCGTCACTACTTGGAATTGTGGTAATTATTAGACCTGACACAAGATTTTATTATTTTATGCATTGGTGAAGAAGCATGTAGCATAATAAAATACTACTTTCATAACTATATTTCCATATATTGGTTTCCCTTGACATGTTATATACTATCTTTTATTCTTTTTAGAGAGATTATTCTGAGAAAGGTTCCACAGGCTCTTGGCTGTCTTCCCTGAGGGTTCCGTAGCACACACAACATTAGCTTGAACTCAACAAGGATCTAGTCTTTAAAGCATCCTGAGGAGCTGGGCCCTCCACACAGTGAATTCCATAGAGGACCAGCCCCATGTGTGTCTGTACACATGGGGGACAGAAGGGAGAGGCCAACATATGTCTCCAGACACAACACTGAGGATTTAACAAAGGAACTTCTTACTTGTCTACTCTTTAGATATGCTCAACACATGTTAGCATTTGCAAGACAAAAATTTGCATTTTCTCTTCAATGATTTGCAGCAGGGCTCCAAAATGATTTCATTAAAAATAAAATAGAATAATTTTATTTTTCTCAATTTCTCCAGTTTCTCCAGATGCTGGCCAAGAGTGTTTGCCATTGAATCACCGTTGATAGGGTAGAGAGAGGCTGATGCTAAACTAACTGCATTTGCCAGTTTCTGCACCAAGAGTGGAAGGACGAAGAACAGCTGTGAGAGTGGTGCTGAGAGAATCAGACAATACAGAGCAACATAGGGGTGACCTCTTAAGCCAAGGAGTCAGATAAGAGATCTGACACCCATAAATGTCACAGAGGCAAATTAGAAAGTCCTTTATTTCCGCTTGTCCTCATGATAAAGGAGAGGAGTAGTTCAGAGTTGGAAGCACTGATTCCTTTGATTGATCAAAATCTGAAATCCTACTGAACTAACCTAGTATCAATAGTAGAATCTAGTATCAATGTAGAATCTAGCACTAGAGGGGGTGCTGGGAGAAATAGGCTTATTCACAATTCTCAAAAATATGAACCTCAGCATCTGGCTTACAAGGGACAAAAATGCTGTCCTGAAAGAAAATATATAAAATATTAGCAATCTTCATAGATACCTTTTTTTTTTTAAACTCAGAGAGAAATATTGAGTGTTTCGCTAGAGTTCTTAATATAGTCATATAAGAAAGTCGGGAGACCTAGAGGTAGAGAAAAAAGAAAGAAACATAGATTAGATAGATAGATAATTTGCTAAGATCTAGATCTATTATATGCCAGACAATATATTCGTTTGTAAAATGCTTTCATCTATCTCATTTAATCCTTTCAACATATCTACACGATATTATCAGCCCAAGTCTTTCAGATGGGGCAGCTTAGAGAACGAAATAACTGGACTGAGGGCACAGAGCTAGTCAGTAGGATTAAAATTCAGGTTTGTCTGACCCACAAAGCCACTAGTCCATTATTTCAGGTGGTTCCAATTATAAAAATGATTGCTGTGACTGAATCCCTACAACTCAAGAAGTTGTTACAGGATTTGAAGGATCAAATTTCAAGTTAGGAACATGAATGGCAATGTGATAACAGGTTACATATTGATAAAAGAAACTTTATGATATCAAACACAATTGTTTCTCATCTGCACAAAGTTAAATGGGCTTGTCCACCTATTTTAATCATTAACTTAAGTAAATAGAAAAACAGGCACCTAGAACTTAAGAGCTCCTTGATGATCTCATTTGCCAACATAGTAGTTCCTGTACCTATTGTCAGAATGTGAAACTGTCACCCCTGTTCCCTGTTTGTAGGAAATAGGAGAAATTGCCTGGTGCATAAGACCAAATTTCATTGTGTTCAAAATGTGCTTCTGTATCGGTTGCCATCGCATACCTACTAGATCAGAGCACCCAGGGTTAGAGCCAAGCCCGTGATCACAGCTATCAAAAGTTAGGAATAAAGTGGGGCCGGCCCGGTGGCGTAGCAGTTAAGTGAGCATGTTCTACTTTGGCGGCCTGGGGTTCGCCGGTTGGGATCCTGGGTGCGGACATGGCACCACTTGGCAAGCCATGCTGTGGCAGGCGTCCCACATATAAAGTAGAAGAAGATGGACACGGATGTTAGTTCAGGGCCAGTCTTCCTCAGCAAAAAGCGGGAGATGGGCAGCAGTTAGCTCAGGGCTAATCTTCCTCAAAAAAAGAGTCAGGAATAAAGTAACAAAGGAAAATCTCAAGGTCATGCCAGGATATCTATCAGAGAAGTGCTGCTCTTGACCATCCATATGCCTCCTCCCATTTCAAGTAAAGCCATAGTGAGAGAGTGAACATATGTCACTCCTTCTTAAAATAATTTCTCTTATCAAATCACTTTAAGATATTGTGTTCTACAAGCTACAGATATTGAATGTCACTTCAGGATGACCTCCAAGGCCTCGTCCAGCCCTAACTTCCTCTGATTCTAGGAAGTTTACAATTGCTAAGATGGAAAAGCCTGCAAGGGCATCTTTATAAGGTCTTTCAGCCATCAGAACGTAAAGGGTCCTTGACTTCAGTTGGGTTATGTGAAACTACCCCTGAGCTCTTTAGTGCTGCAGGAGTTACTCCGTCAGTGTGAACAACTGGGACAAGTTAGAGGATTTCAAAGACTAAGTAAATAACCTACGATCAGAAAATTCAATTTGTTCATGAGGTGGAGAAAGGCATCCTGCCATTAGACAGTCAGATGGAAAACATGCAAACCACAGTCTGTGGAAGAGAAAAGAACATCGACAGCCCTTGCCCAGAAGCACAGGCAAGTGTAGGAAACATACTCAGCAGAGTCAACGTGTCTATTGTGAACATGGGAAGCCGGAGCCACAACACTGATTGAAATTCCACACTATGAAATAACCAGAGAAGTCACTCTCAGGCCAGTCCCTCCAATGGGGAGCCCTAGGGAGTCGACGAGACTCACTCCTGAGATGGGTTCAGAAAGAAGACTCTGCTCAAGAGAAAATGCTCTCTGGCTCAGGCACAGCCATGCTGCAAATTCCAGTGATAGGCAAAGACAGCAGAAGGCACAATTTGACAGGGCCAGCTCTCTTTGTTAGGCAAAAAGATAAGATCTCCTATGGGAATAGAAACAAAATGCTATGTGAAGCACACATTAACTTTTACTGCAAAGGATCTCAGAGAATTGCCGTGAATGAGGTAGTAGTAAAACTTAGATTTGCATTAGGAATCACCTGTACATCCAAAAATGGATATTAGCCAGTGCAAAATCTGGCTGCTTTTTACTGCCTTATTATTCTGGTGTGCCCTCTTTTCCACATCAAAGAAACTGTGGTCTGTAAAATCAGACCCTGTAACACCGCTGTTGTTTTGGCATTTGTTGTAATATTCGGATAGCGTAGTCGGGCCCACTACTAGCCCATTTGTCACTTTTGTGCAAATCCGAGAAAGAACTTCCCTTATTCCAGGTGGATGCAGCCTCACGCTGGAGCATAAAGTTTGGTCAACAGAATGTGGGCTGGATTTCAGTCCCTCAGCCTCAGCTGGATGCCCTTATGCAGTCCCAGGTGCAACATTCTCTCTAGAGGGTGCGTCCTGCTAGATATTAGGTTCCGTTATACATCGGCGGGTGCAGCACATGCTGTTGGTGCCTGGCCGTGTCCCCTTAGTCCCTCCAGAGGTCACCAGCAGCTTCAACGTTGAGCTTTCTGAAGACTTCTTACCTCAGGTTCCTGTTTCTCTCTGCCTGAGGGATTTTTCTAGGTTCCGGAGTGTGCTGTCAGGACAAGGCAGGGGTTAACGCCTGAGAGCAGTCTTCAATCAAGGACGAGTGGAATGGAGTTGGCGGGTACGTTCCCCAGCCTCCTCGCCCTTCGGTGGATCAAATTGAAGTGTCTGCATGGTGGCCCATGGGGTCTTCAGCAGGATCAAGCCCAGTTACCCAGGGCGATCATCCACTTATCAACATCCTCTTTGTTGACTTTCTTCCCTTCCTCATTTCGTTTCTTCGCTCCCTCTCCACGTTTCCTGGGATCACCTTCCAAATCCTTGCACCCAAATCCTTTTCTCCGAGTCTGCTTTTAGGGGAACCCAAATTAAAACACAGGCTTCCTCACTATAATTCTAACTCTTGGCTTGACGCACCTGCCACTGTTTAGAGCTTTAAATCTAATTTGACCATCATGAGAAATTCTTCATGAATGGCAATACTCTTTCACAAATCAGCTAATGTTAAGAAAGGAACAACCACACCGTAAGGAGAGAAGCAGCATACTGTCTTAAAGAAAATGTACTTAAAGGAAAAGCAAACCACGTGTCCTGATGGTCAGCAGAGGAGAGGGAGAGAGGGAGAAAACCGAATGACTGTGCTTACTGATATCTGCGCAAGAGAGCAGGAGTTCAGCTCTAGTGCGACTGTCTTAGTTGTGAGGTTAGGAGAACCGAATGAGTGAAGGGGCAAGAACGCAGTTCTTTGACCCTCACTGCGGAAGCTTGCTGGAGGCGGGCCTGAAAGAGACAGAAATGGGTGTGGGGAAGGACACAGCAGGGAGCAGGTGCTGCTCACCCAGCCCTCAAGTTTTGGAGTTAGTCTCCAAATCTGGGGACGCGATTCAAGCACTTATGGAGCCCTTACTGTGTTGATAGATGTTGAGCACAGTGCTGGGCACTGCTTCCTGGGAGCCCAAGAGAACACTGGTCACAAACTCTGTCCACAAGGGACTCGCAGACTAGTAGAGGACATAAGACATGCCAAGACATTTGCTGACCCACAGAAATAGCAATTTTATATGATTTGCCAATTAACGAAAAGGTAGTCCACCCATCTGGCAGGCGCTGATCCTGCTGGATCAGCAGGGACCTCTGCCTGTCCGAGGCCAAAATAACTGTCCACAAAAATAGCTGCCTACTAGACTCTAACAATATTAAGGGCGGGACTGTATTTTCTAAATCTTTGTACGGCCTGCAAGGCATTGCTTTGAATATAGTAGGTGGTCATGGATGAGTGGTGTCTGCATAACCCAAGCAAGAATCTCATTTTATAATACGAAATTTTATGAAAAGGCAGAAAAGGCAGAAACCCATTGTGGCTGGGCTAATATGGGAAGGCTTCCTGGAAGAGGTGGCTTTGGAGCTGAGTCACAGTTTCAAAGTAAAAACACCCAACTAAAACGGACTCTTGAATTTTCCTTTGCTTGTCAGCAGAGGTCTGGCTCCAGTCTGGAGATATGTCCGTCCTTCCGTCATTCCTTTGTATCCAACGGATGCATATTCAACTTTGACTTTTTAAATTTTTTAAATGGTTTGCTATTAAAACATTCTAATTTGGAGCCTTTTTTTCTCTTGATGTCAATAGAAGGATATTATTTCACTGCTTTTACTGGAGCTGCGGGACAATTGTTAGTTTATTCTGCATTGCTGCTCAGAGATACACTTACAAACACAAGGATACATGTGAAGATGGGAAACAAAGCGATGGGAAAATGCACCCTATTTAGGAAAGCCAAGCCTCCCAAAGAGAAAACTAGAGGCTGCCAGGCAGGTCTGTGTTTTAACTTGTGGTCCTTCTTGCTCCCAGGTTGCAGTCACCTAACTCCTGCACACCCCCTCTCCCTTTTCCTCTGCCAGGAGTCTCAGCAGTGCCCTCAGTAGGTGCTCTGTGTATGGCAAGGGAAACAGCAAGGGTTTCTGTGGAAGACCTTTACTTGGGGAAACCCTCGGACAGGCAGAAGTCCCTGCTGATCCAGCAGGATCAGCACCTGCCAGGTGGGTAGACTACCTTTTCATTAACTGGCAAATCATATGAAACTGTGATTTCTGTGGGTCAACAAATGGTAAGTAGCAGTAATTTTACATGGTTCAAATTAATAGTTTTGTAGGACAACTAGCCCATCAACTAAGAAAATAAAGATGAATAAATAAATCGAGGCTTTTCTTTTCTTCTTTGATTTCAATTCTGGCATTGAACACTGTCCACTTAGCAGGGATGTGCTGCATGAGAATTCTTAGTGAGTCTAAGGAGGTCACCACAGGCAGAGTAGACTTGAATATATCAGTCCATGGACAGAGAGGGGCAAGAAACATCAGAGAATATGCCCGTTGTTAGAGCAATCTAATGGTCTTGCCTCTCTGGGCCCCTCCTCATGGTGCTGCCAGAAAGTTGATTCAAGTTCCTGCCCCTCTGGGATCAGCCAACTTCCCTGTCTCCTGCTTTCTTACTTCTAAACATGGAGAAATCTCTTTATTTTGGTCTCTTCCCAGGCTTCTCCAAAGTTACTCTGCTTCTACCCACAAACTCCCTGCACCTCTCTGGTGAACTTGTGTTTAGCCTTGAAGACTTTCTGCTTACTGACTAGAAAGTGAACTTCCCCTGGGACAAGGTACAGGAGAGCCTACTTATATGGGGCAGTGGTAATGGGAAGAAAAAGCTAATTAATATCATAAATTATCTAGCCACAAAGAGAATTCATGGTAGAGTAGTCAAGGTTGGAAATAAACAAGAGAACTACTTCTCCTTGATAATTTTGCCCAGGTTGGACTTTAATTCTCTTGATGCCTTAGAGTGCTTTAAGACCAAAATAAAAAGATCCTGGAATCATTTGTTTTGAGGCTCTTCCTTAGGGGGAATGAATTAACACGACCGCACCCCATGAAGGACACAAGACTGGTGTCAGTTTGTGACACGGACTTGGGGTGGTTTCTACTTTGTCTGAACTGGTTCACGACAAATAATCCTAATAAAAGTACAGGAATCATTTCCAGACATTTAGGACCAGAGCAGGACAGGTCAAAGGAACTTTGTCTCTGAATCGTAAGGTATGCCTCCCTCTTTGCATTTCTTTTGACTCTTAGAGCCATCCAAAATTTTAGTTTCAAGACTGCCTCAGGCTCTTTGTCACCCATTCACATGTGGGTGGCGCTGGATTGTGTTTAAAAGTACTTTTTTTTTTTTACTCAACTTTCTGTTTGCCCAGTTACCCAGGTGACTGATTCGGCTATTTTAAAAGCCACTTTCAGAAGCCTTACCTTTTCCATGCACCATTGACAGCAAATATTTCCAGCCTGAGTCAGAGAGCCGCTGTCTTTGTGGAGGTCGCCGTGGCATGAGCTTGTCTTCACTGGTGTTCTCTCCTGCATGAGATCCTGCCAAGGAAGCGTCTAAAGGGAGTGGGGATGGAGGACTTGCATGCATTTAAAAGTTGGCGTTCCAGCCAGGCGTTCTGACAGCCCATGCAAAGGTGCTCTCAGGATGAGTTAGAGGAGACAGGAAGCACTAGCAACTAAAGGCCCAGCTGACCTAGCTGCTCCGGAGTTTTATGTTACACAATGTTGTTTTCTGACACCTACTTTGAAAAATAGACAAAAGGGCTACACAAGAGGAATACCTATCAATGAGAAAACCTTTGTGCCAGATAAGAAATGAGATATAGTCAAAATGGACTAAAATATCCTGTGGAGTTAGGAAGCAATAAAACGTGTATGGGTAAATCTTCATTTGGGGATGAGAATCTGAATGCCAAGAAAAAAACAAACTTGCAGCTGACTGAGTTAGGACATGTTCTTTCCTTAGTTCCTCAGCGTGGAAGAGGAGGTGAGGAGATTCCTGGCTTGTTGGGAGGAAAAAGCTTTGAAAGGAAAGAAAGGGGGCAGGCCTAGGCTTGTTGTGGGTCTGAGCTGTGAGCAGATGAAAAGCTAAAACAACAGTCACAATGATGAAATGCTTCTAAATGGCCTCAGAAAGGCTTGGAATGTGGCCCTGTATGCCCTATCTGACCATTTAATCTGTGTGTGTGAAAGAAGAACCCAAGATGAATTTTCTTCTTCCACTCTGTGCAAAAGGTGGTGGAGGTTGAAAGACAGTAGTGAATGGCACCTTTGCCGCATGAGTATGGAACTGAAAGTTGTTGAAAAACCGGAGGAAATTCTTTTTTTTACATCTATTCAGTACCACAATTATACAGTTGTCAACTCTGAGGTCATAGATTTAGCAAGCTTTTCCACCTACAGAAAAAAAAGTTACTTAGAGGAAATTTAGCTTTTTCTTTTTCTTTTCTTTTTGTTTTTTTAACCAAGAACTCTTAGGCAAACACTTTTTCATGGCCCTAGGAGTTCTGGGGCCAATTTCAAATCTTGAGTTTGCTAGCTGTGCAAAGACAGTGCGGGCATCTTTGTTCTCCTCGCAGGCTACCTCAGGTAGGATGCAATTCTTAGCACTGCTTCAAGGGCCTTGTGTCTGGGTGTGGGAACAGATGATGAGGCTACAGACCCACAATTCAGAGCCCAACGGATCTCTGCTTCAGTCCTGGGCCCTTTTCTCTCACCATTAGAGTTTGGATAGTCTGACAGATACTGAAATTTTCCTGGGGAAGATCAGCCTCAGATATTGGCAAGACATCGAGAGAATGAAGTTGCTATGGAAAGAACATGACCCTCTGAAGAAGGAAATGAATAACTGTAAAAGGGGTATTTTTATAAGTGATATGAAACTAGATCTTTTTTTTTTTGGTTTATTTCCTCTTGTGCAAAAATGACAACTAGGAAAATGAATCAAAGTTCTGGCTGGACTACAAGCGTGCACCTCAGCAACAGCCACTGATGGGTCAATCTGTCCCTCTCATTCACGTCTGGCCCCCTGCCCGCACCCATCACCTCCCTGCCCTGCTACTCTTGGTGACAGTGTGGCAGGATGGAAGAGCAGGAATTTTGTCACCTAGGCATATAACCACAATACATACTCCATCGCTACGTAATTTCATTTCCTTGGACAAATTGCTTAATCTTGCCAGACCTCAATTTATCTTATCGGTGAAATACGAATTCTCATACTTTCCCTATAGCAAAGGTTGCTGTGAGAGTCATCTAGAAGAACAGGAAGGGAAGACCTTTGGCAGCTGTAGAGTGCTGTATACAAGTGTGAGTTGTACAAAAATCAAGCTGTAAGGTTGGTGTTCTGTAGAACTTAGCTTCCCTGCACAGAGGATCTGATTAATCATAAAATATAAAGATAAGTGACGACACTTTAAAGAGCTGTTGAAAGTGTGTGTGGACTTCTACTTTTTGAGGGGCCTTCTTATGAGTGTAGATACCTTTTTGGAGATGCCTTTAGGAGGAGGCACCATGTTGGCCTACATTTTGCCTTTTTTCCTTATAAACTTTCCAGACTTCATTTTTGCGTGTGTGCTGATTTTTTAAATTGAGATATAATTGACATATAACGTTATATTAATTTCAAGTGTACAATAAATGATTCAATATATGTATATTGTGAAATGATCACCACAGTAAATCTAGTTAACATCCATCACCGCACATAGTTACAAATTTTTTTCCTGGTGATGAGAAATTTTACGATCTATTCTTTTAGCAATGTTCAGATATACAATACAATATTAGTAACTACAGACCCTCTTCTTTATGTATTACATGACGCCCATTTCCCATGAAGGAGAGTGAAGATTTTACTTAGCAGCTCGCCTTAATCTTTCCAACAATTGAGACTTTATAATTACTTTCATCAAAGCTATGTTGTTAGGACCATGCAGGGGAAAGTGCTTGCTTTCCATTGAGAACTGGCAAATTTTCATAAATCTCAAGACTGTGTTCTTCAGACTTCGGACTCTGTAGATCAATTTCATTAAAACAAAGAGGCAGAAGAAAGAAACCGCATCATCCTGGAACTGTTTTGTCTTAGCCTGAACTAATCCAAAGGCAGTGAAGTTTGTTTCTCCCTTCACCCTGCCCCACCGTTTCAGATTTATATGCCTTTGCCCTTGGGCCAAATTTGGGGCAGGGTTGTGGGGAAGGAGTGGATGCCAGAGGAAACATACATTTTATTTTGTCTTCACACAAATCTCTTCTTCAACTTTTATTACAGGCTTGTGAGCTCCCTAGACAGGAGGAAATTTTGAATGAACTCAGCTTTTAGTGACCAGGAGTGGAGACATAAAAAGAGCTATTCAGCCTCTCTGGTTACAGAGATAACTACAAAGGGTAACTGGCATTAAGTCTCTAGTAATAGCTGCTCTAAGTGCTGACCATGATTTGAATCTCTCGATAACTGATCCGGGGAGGCTGGAATATTTATCAAGCCATTAAGAGAGGCTGTTTCTGGCTGATAAGATGCCTACAACTGATGAGGTCCACCTGAAGACGCTGATGAGGCTGGGCTGGATTTATAGCCATTTGCAGAGACAGCAAAAAATGTTCTCCTAAAGACATTCATCAGCAAAATTATCAATCTGTCCTGGGGCCGGCCTATGGAATCTTCATGAAACATGGTTGGTGAACACCCTGACATATAAGGCGATTGCATACTATGCTCAGACCTGTCCAGCAAGACACAGTTTCACTGATTTGGAGGCCGAGGAAGTAGGGGGTGGGATAAATGAGACATGAGCATTATTAATCTGTGGATCTCATTTTTCAGGAAAATCTCACACTGAGTTATAACGTGCCAGATATGTGATTATCCGAGGTTTAAAAAGAAAAAATAAGAACTCACCATTTTATACAACTCCAGGGCCTTGTTGTGGTTTATTACTACAGTGGGAGAAGTTGCAGTATGGACAATGCTAAAGTTAAAAACAAACAGGGAAAGGCAGTCACCCTCATTTTATTTCCCCCCCCCGTAAAGTTTTGCAGCCATGTCTAACCTCAGTGCCAGCATTTACATTTTATTTTATTTTTTTAAAATACAAATTGACTATCTCACACTTAA